TCGTGTTTGAAGCTGTTTAATAAACTCGCAGGTCGTGTTTTATTAGGTCTAAAGCCACTCGCGCTGCGCGCTCGTGTCTTTAAACCTAATAAAACACTCCTGCTCGTTTATTAAACAGTACTTAAAATATTGTTTTATTAAATTAGTATCACGATTATCTTCTGACAGATAAAAATTCTACAAAAAATTTAATCTTAATCGTATATTTTCCGATTTCAGAAAACTACAGGGGTTCATGGACAAAAGAGTGGCCCCCAATAAAAAGTAATATTCGTGACAAAATTGTTAGAGAAATGTTATTTTGTTGTATATAATTATGTGATTTTGTACACTTGTGAGTCCAGGGACGCCGGAAAAACGCGAGGCCAAGGGAGACACATTTTCGTGACGGGGCACTTTTCAACGGGTTCATAAATTTTGAGTTTCCTTCCCCCTACGAAAATATTTGTCCGAAATGTTGTAGTAAACCACCAGAATTAGCGATTTCTTAGTCCAATCGACGACTACAAGAAAAAGTGATGTACATTTCCCCGTAAAAAAACCGTCTTTTTATTCGTAATTTAAAATAAAAAAGGGCACCTTTGCCCCCCTTAGGAAAAAGGGCGATGCCTCCCTGCGCATGGCATATTATTTTTGAGCATTATAGATAAAGGTTGAATGCAATTTAGAGTTTTACACAGCTCAACTACTGTCAGTAATAAGTGTAAAATAATCAAAACAAGATGACTGCTCAGGCGTTCACACTGGCCTTCGCGGTTGGTAAAATACCATCGCAATATTCTAAAAAATAATTTGAAACATGTAGATGTTCTCCACTTCTTGACCACCGTCACTTCAAGATCACAAACATTCAGAGTACGGCACAATAAAAATCCATACAAAACCAATAGAGATCAGCGATATCTTATTGAAAAACACAGAAAAAGTTCAAGCGCATGCGCAATGAAATATAATAAAATACGTCCCACAATTACAGCGTCTAAGATTTGTAACGCCTCGTTCTGGTTAACATTGTGTAGAACTGGTCCTAACTCCAATCCTAATCCTAATCCATGTCGTAATCGCCTGAACATGTTTTAGCTAACTTGCAAAATCCTGAGCCCACGATGCCACAATGGAAAGTCACACTTACGACAACCAAAAAAAACACCGAAAAGACCAAGGCCATTCTATGACACTGGCTGCGGCCAGTGTAATAATAAACTTTTACTTTAAAAGTGCGCATAAATTCTTCGCAAGAATGTCAATGGAGAAAGAACAAAAAAAATTATCTATATGAAGTACTTTAGAATTCTCAACAGGGCGTGTATGAGGTAATAGTATCTTTAATAATAGATAAATTAATAGAAGGGTTGAAACACTGGTCACATGATTTTTTAAATGCTTCTAATTTAACCGTTTCGACATAATTTGATTATTTTACAACGTATTTAGCAATTGCATTCTCTTAGACGAACAAAGATATCTCGTAAAGCCGATAACATATATAAACCTTTCCCTAAATGGTGTTTAACACTTCTCTAAATTTATCTATTATTAATTATGCCATTACCTCATACACGCCCCCATTATCTACCTGTTGACGATTCTATAGTACTTCATATAGATAATTTTTTGCTCTTTCTCTATTCATAATATATTCATCGTTGTTGCGAATAATTTATGCAAATCTTTTAAAGTAAGTTTATTTTTTGATTACTTTACACTTGTTACTGACAGCAGTTGAGCCATATATATCTTATATACACTAGATAGCGCATCTCTTTTAGAAAAATTGAAGCCAAGAATATTCCAGCGGTTACCCCTATTTGAATAAATGGCGGCCATGTTGGTCGTTCCCACTTGCTAATAAACGCTTAAAAACAACAATAACTTTCATCATTTGAATAGTTTAAAAACGTATTTAGAATAGGTTTAACTTAATGTTTAAGTTCCCTGTTTAAGAAATAGAAAACATACGAATCTTCTCATTTCATGGGAACGACCTGAGACTGCAATCACGGCTTCAATTTTTGAATTGCAGAATAATTAGATGCACAATCTAGTGTATATGAGATATCTATGAGTTGAGCCCCCTGCGGTTTTTACTCTGGATTCGCGAACGCTATTTTTAACCACAAATTGTCAAATGCACCAAATTATGGTGAGTCAAACGAGTTAAACTACCATAGGATGTAGCAAATTCTTGTGCTTGTTATTTTGCTTGTAGGGTGATTTAACCTCTCTACGAATTTGTACAAAAAGAGTCACAATTATACGACTAAGATTCCCCTACAGATTCAACTGCGAAAGGAGGATTTAAATGTTGACATGGGAATGATTTTTAATAAGGCATTTCACTTGTGTACTGCTCAGTACACTTGGATTAGTCGGGCACATTTTTACTATCTTGGTGATCACATGTACTGTATATTGCCCCATACCAAATCTAATTAAGCCCCCCCCCCTCGATACAAATTTTGGGAAATATATAACGGTGGGTGGCAATTTTTCAGCTGACCTCCCCTTGACAAACTGCACTGGTCGCATATTCTCTTTCAAAATTGCATTATTCAGGGCATTTCGAAACTTGGAAGTTCTGCTTATATTTTACAGACAGTTGTATTTCATTGACACCGCTACTGTCTGTTAATTGTTATCGTCTCTTCCTACAGTGGCACCAACCGTTAAGGGTTGTACTCTGCCTAAGGTACTAAACTGCCTTCATAGTATGAATTTTATTTCTTGTATGAATTTTACTTTGTATTCAACACCTTTCTTCATATTATACACAGAGCAGGGGCGTAGCCAGCACCAAATAAGAGGGGTCTGATCGGATAGCCATAGATTTGGTATATTTTATGTCATAAATGAAAACATTAAGAGGTGAAGCCCCCCCCCCCCCCCAGTTTCTCCTCAGTTTGAAAGAATCGGTCCTAAAGAAAAGTGGAGGGGGTTCCGGACCCGACCCCCCATTCCTACGCCCCTGGCACAGAGTAGAAGCCTTTGAGGTGAAGCATTTGTTGTGCAAAATTCAATAGTTTTGGTGAACTGTTTGCTAAACATATCAAATTCTGCTAGACATATCAAATTTTGTCAAATAACGAATGCTTAACACGCTGCAGAAGAAATACACCAAGTCGGCGTCACGACTCTCGACCTTTGAATAAAAAATAGTTCCTTATTAGTATATGTTTGACGAGAGGCTGAAAGATAACACAATACCGCACGTGCGTTGGTTGTGCTATAGGCAGACGAAGGGCCTTCGCTCGAAACGTCGAAATTCTCCTTATATTTTTCAGGTAGTTGCATCCCTACCAATAAAAGCTTGTTCACATTACAGGAATACCTTGGAATACCAAAAGTTAATGTATGTTAGCACAAGTATTTCAGTTGTTGCTGTACTGTATAATACATGGGAGAACACTGCAGACGTGAATTTGTGCATGTGCACCGTCCGATACTGCCGAGTTTGAAACGCGAACCACTCCAGACAGACGACAAGATATACATATTGACTGTCCATTTTATTGCCTGTAGATTAGTGAAGCTTCTATATATAGCAACGACTGACGTGCTTGTGCTAACATACATTAATTATAGGTATCCCAAGGTATTCCTGTAATGACTTACAACTGTACATTCATTAATACAGGATTTGACCGCTCAGTGGGGCGAATATAATTTCAAAATATTTGTTTAAGAGTACGTTAGGTTACTACGCCAACTAAAAGTTTACAGCACTATATGAAAATTTCGAATGAGATGCAATTTTTATATGCAGTTTCTGCCTGCAAACGACAGTGAAACAATTGAAATGGTTAAGAACGTCCTGATGAAGCAAATAGCCAGATAACGCAAGTACAGTACCGTACGAAATTACGACAAGTCATAGAGTGACAAACGTTTTAACAGAAATGTGCAAACAGTGCTGATGCAACATTGGGACTACTGAAGAAGTGTAGACTACATACACGACATTCTCGAACTGAATAGCTAAAAGATCAAAATATTTAGAGGAAGGGCCAGAGCTATAGACCAAAATATTTAGAACTGAAGACCAAAATAGTTAGTAAAGACCAAAATAGCCAGAGCTAAAGACCAAAATATTTTGAGGAAGGGCCAGAGGATGGGCTCACGAAGCCGAAGGACGTCCTTATTTGCTTTGGAGAATCCAGTCTTAGATCATGGTATAGCGGTTGTATGTCATGCTGACCATCCGAAGAATGAACATTTCGGTCATACAAAACTGATGAACATACAGGAAGATGATCTGCAAGAGGAGTCTTTGTTCAATGATGATATCGTTCGACATCTTATGAGAGAGGTGTTTGAATATCGTTTAAATGGCATAGAGTATCGTAAGAAAGAGGGCGAGGAACTGTGTAAACATATCATCACAGATATTCAAAAAAAAATTGCAGTTCTTGACTACAAACGTTACAAGATAATATGTACGTGTGTCTTAAGCGCCATTGATAAACCACCACTATGGTTGGAAAGTCGTTCCACATGGAACGGTGAGTTAACTAGTGCGGATAAGGATCGTTTCGTAGAACTAGTTTTCAAAAACAAAGAGTTTTATGCCATTGCAACTGTATTTGGTATGTATAATGACAAGGATTTTAGAAGAAGAACTCAAAGAGAAACATTGTTTTGCAAAAATTATTGAACGTGCGTGATTATATACCAACGTGTATCCAAACATGTATACTTCGAATTTGTGTGTCGTTTTTACCCTTTGATTGTTGAAGTTAATGAGGACAATATAGGTTGGGTAACTTAACATATAGTGAACAGACGTAGTCTCATGTATTTATATAATATGAGTTATATATATATATATCTTCTTTTTTATTTGTAGCGGACCATTAGAATTTTGAGGGAGGGCAAAATTTTTAGGGCACGATATTTTTTAACGTTCGAGGCTGTGCAGGATTTTTTTCACCATTGATTTTCTTGCAGGATGTTTTGGGAGATTTTTAATACCTGACACGTACACGTGTTAGGAATACTAACAAGTATATACAATAACAACGATCTACTAAGAAGCAGTTATCAAAATACCCTGCCCCAGTTTAGGAATGGTATAGTTCCCATTTTTTTAGGCTCAACGGAGTGGGAAACTATATAATACGAGATAAAATTTTGTTAATACAAATGTAGAAATGCAGATGTAGAAATTACAACAATGCAGAAATAATAATTATTTCAATTAATACTTATTTCACTTTATTTTTATTTATCTGGGGCAAATTATGAAATTTGCAGGATTTTTTTCTGCGGGGGTTTTGTTGTGCACGATAATTTTTTCTCAGGTTAAAACTGTGCTGGAACTTCGTAATATTTGCCCAATCCCCGCGCGCCCTCAAAAATCGAATGGTCCGTCCCTCGCGCGCTTGTACGAAATCGTAGAAATCACGGTAGCCGTTAAACAGGGCATAAAGTACAAAAATACACCAGGGTGGGAGGTGGTCAATTCTATACACGGAATATACAAAAATAAACAGAGAAAATTCATGTACAGTATCTACACCGTAAAAAAGATTGACAAAGCTCTGCGGGGAAAATGTCCCCTCCACCCTCCCAGGATAATTAATGGTCCACCTCTTATATTAAATTATAATATTAAATTAATAGTAACGTTTTATGCTAAGTTTTAAGCTTTATAGTTAACGAGAATCTTGTAAATATTTGGCACGGTTTCATTAAATTACAACAATTGAATGAGAGAGTATATAGTCCATTTTGCGCAGGTCTTGGGTAAAAGTGCATGCGCGTACGTGGGGGTTAATTAAATATGACGCAGGTGGGTTTTCCGGGGACTATTCGCCGGTATGAGTTTCGGAAATTATTGTAATTATTATTTAAACTTATTTAAGCACGATGACCTATCAGTTTCCTGGTTTTTGATATAGGGTCGTGCAGGCTATGTAATATAGACAAGCACTTATCTCACATGTTCGATTTAAGTGAAAGGGCTGCCTCGTACCCAGGCTTCTCTTTGTAAAAAAACAGCGATGCACGTATGACGAGTTTACATGAAGTATTGTAGCGCGAGAGAAGGGGCTGATGGAAGAGTCAGCCCCTTCGCGCGTCGCCTGCCTGAATACTTCATGTATCCCGAAGTAGTATATATCCCTATTTAAAGCGCCTGGGTACGAGGCAGCGCAGCGACAGTAATTTCAGCTCAGTCGCATTTTAGGGAGTGCTTCCACTTCAAGCCAACCTCTCATTCTGCCAATGATCATTCTATGGTATTTCTTTCTTTTGTAACAATTGACCATTAATAGGGAATGGCTCCTTATTGTACTGGGAATGGCTCCTTATTGTACTATAGCTCTTGGCGAACACTATACAGGGTGTATCAAAAAAACTGAACAGATTTGAAATTGCTCTTAAATTCGCAAAACAGCTATTAGTATCCAGTTTTTGATGTATATAGCTTCTTTGGGTACTTATAATGTAGAATAATGAAAAAAAATTCTCGAACTCAAATTTTGTGAATCAGGGGTGTGTGTCTTTTCCAACAAACTAAAAATGGCTTGCACACGAACTTAAAAGCTTTAAACATATTTTGAGTTAATAGATGGAAAATTTGTTGGTTTTTAATTCCTGTACAAAATTTCAGACAATTTTCTTTAGTTTACGACCTTTATCTATTCATTTTTTCCTAAAAAATCAGCCTTTCGCATGCTTAATTAATGCATTTACCTAGTTTGCATATTGCTGACATATGCAAATTAGGCAAAGGCATTAATTAAGCATGCATTAATTAAGCTGATTTTTAGGGAAAAATGAAAGTTTGCGTGAATAGTTAAAGGGCTTAAACTAAAGCAAATTGTCTGCAATTTCGTACAGTAATTAAAAACCCAACCAACTTTTCTATCTATTAACTCAAAATATGATTAAAGCTTTTAAATTTCGTGCGCAAGCCATTTTTAATTTGTTGGAAAAGACACACCCCCCTGGTTCACAAAATTTGAGTTCGAGAAATTTTTTTCATTATTCTACATTATAAGTATACCCAAAGAAGCTATATATATAAAAAAACTGGATACTAATAGCTGTTTTGCGAAATTAAGAGCAAATTCAAATCTGTTCAGTTTTTTTTTTATACACTCTGTAGTACCAGAACAAAGAAGATACTTGATCACATCAACTCATACGTTATACCCTCACAAGGGATTAAACATCATAAAAACCATAGTGATGTTCATGTCAATGTTGATCCAACAAGTAAATCTCGTAATACCAATGCATGTTATTAATCAAACATACTTATACCATCAAATACTAAATACACTATGTAAGCCAGCGCATATTATATATTCAAACGCTGCTCAATACCAGTGCAAACAAACAAAATTTGCCTGCATCGTAACTTAGAAGTAAAACAAATATACTAAAGCTGAGCTGGAATTATTATATATGCAAGTAATTAAGGTGCCTACAAGAAATTATAACCAACAAATATTTGAAAATAAAGTTAAGTCAACTAAGTTCGTCAGTTTAATTTCCTATCAAATGACTGACGAAAGGAACAAACATTCACACACACACACACAGAGCTTGCAAAAACACAATCCCACACGCGGAGTTTTACGCGTGCCTGGTGAATTCGTAATTAATACTATATGCAAATCTAGATATAAAGGCTAATAATATCAAAGCCACATAAGCCCAGATGATAAACGCTTGTACCTAGCTAAATTCATGATGTAAAAACACTATACATTTCCTTGACAAAGGAGTGACATATAGCTATAAAATATGAGTCGCAGTTTAGCTCTTGATAGCCGAAGATCATCAATTAGTGACGGAAGCAGTCACTTGCAGGATAGAAACGTATCTATAGCGACTTCAGGGGATACACACGCTACACGGAGACCATCAATTAGCTCCACAACAGGACTACCGAATCTGAACAAACGCAGGTCAACTGTTTATCGTAAGTCAAGCGTACTAGACAGTCATCCTGCTTCTCTTGCATTCCGTCCACGACTAGCCAACACATACCAAATGGAACCCGAACGAAAGTTCAAACCTGCAGAAATCCAGAAACTTGTCTATAATGTTCTGGAAGAGAGACTTGAAGATACGAGTTATGAGCCTGATAAATGTCGTCATCTTGTAGTGTCTTTGGCAAATGAGATCAGACATAGAGTAAAACAAATGGGTTTTGCGCGATACAAGATAGTTTGCACTGTTGATATGGGATCTATTGAGGAGCAAGGCTTACGTGTTGCCAGTCGCTGTCTTTGGGATAAAGTTCAAGATAGTTTGGGAACGGCTACGTTTAAAAATGAAAGTTTGTTTGCAGTTGGGACTGTGTTTGGAGTTTATCATGAATAATCATTGTTGGATGCATTTGACGCAAGAAGTACAACAGTAATCAAAACTGTAGATAAAAATTATAATACACCTATATGCACTACAACACACAAACCAACGTACTCCGTGAACATAAAGAAAAACGAAGAAATCGAATGATCACTTGGAAAAACATATTCAGTTCACGTAATTCATGCGTTACATATCAACCGCGAAAAAATGTTAGGACAATAATATACAAACCAAGAAGTTGAACAACGAGACTATAGTTCTCACAAATATACTGTGAACAAACTGAATGATATACATGAGTGACGCAAGCTTCCTCGACTAGACCTAAATGGACTTCTACAATACTGTTATTGTCAATAAAATAAATATGCAAAGCTTAGTGTTAAGTTAGGATAGTGAAACTGGCCTTATTTATAGAAATTAAATATATAGAATCCTGGAATTACGTTGCTATCGATATTTGAATAGTTGGGATAGATATAACTTACGTTTTGGCAGCTATATATTTTTGAGGTAAAATATTTACAATTTCATGGTCGAGAGGTTTCATAACAGCTATGTATACTATATTTGTAATGTAATATTCCGTGACCAATTCAAGTCTCAGTCGCATTTGTCACAACAAGAAAAATGAAACCTGTCAACAACGTGAACGGCAAACATTTTATTGCTATAGTGTTGCGTGCAGTGTAAGTGGACTTGTATAACTAGTTCTGGCCGTCACCTGTTTGTACTCGTGATTTTGTAGTTGACTACCTATTCATAGAATAAAGACTATACAGAAAGCGCCATGATTCGCCATCAATTTCAACTAATTTGAAATGTTATATGTTTTTCAACTAATTTAATATTTTTATGTATGTGTGTACGTATTTCGCTGCTTCGGGGGTTGCACCTTGCATGGGAGTTCGCGTTCCGTAATCGAACCTAACCCTTCACGATTTTCAATAGCAATCTATATAAAGAAATCCTTAATTGCAACTGATAACATTTCATAACAAATACTAATTGTAATTACTTTCCTTATATTAAAACAGTTCTGTACTATTTTTGTAATTTTTTGTATAATAATTTTCGGAATATGTGTGTTTAATTATTTCTTTATTATTAGAATACTCGACTGTAAATATCTTTATTACTTAACTCTGTTATACAACTTGGGGTCTTAAATTTAAAAAAAAATATTCGGTTTCTAGTAGACCTCTAGGCCGTCTGCCATTCTAAATATTTTCAGGGGGGTGAATGCCTATCATAAGCGCACAGGCTGGGGACATGGCGACAGCATTGCAATGGTTATGCCAAAATCATGGGCAAAACCAAGAAGTCGACCTTCTGTAAGGTCTGTATTCTGTGATTACGTAATCAACTACAAATTACGACTTTAAACATGAGACGACTACAACTACCATCGTGGAAATAATATCAGATTATCAGTAGACTTTTTTAGACATATCTTGTCTTACTATTTTGTAAAGCCATTTTATTTTTAGTTAATACAAACGCCCATGATCGCTAGAAATAGTACTCCCCCTGGCACAATGTTGGTTCAAACCATAATGAATATCTCTTTATTTGCCACAAAATAAATCAATAATTAAATAATGTACAGACATTGGGTAATACAAGAAAAGAAAACACAAACATTACTTGATACAATGGAAGTAAATAAATATTGGAAGTGACGAGGAGGCATCCAGAAGCCTAAGGGCTTGTACAATTCAACCTCGTACCCAGGGGCAGGGTTTTTCCTCTTGGGGAGAAGACCTTGGTCACGCGATCTGCCAAAATCTAGCAGATTTCTAATTAACTATCTTGGATTCCTTTACGACAATCATACAAAATGCAAATTATAAATTAAACTATAAAAATCATCCAATTATCAAATATTTATTGACTTCATCTTGGATTGCTAATTAAAAATCTGTTAGATTTTAGCAGATCACGTGACCAGCGTCTACCAGGGTATTTTCTCCCTCGCCAAGAGGAAATACCCTGAGTACGAGGTTGACCATGATTATATCACAGTCAACATTGTAAAAGGGGAGGGGTGAAATTTGGGAAATTTTCAACATTCCGCGAATTAATTTCCCAGAGCCTGGGTACGAGGTTGTTAATTTCCATCATTGTACAATCATGGAAATAATATCCGTAGACTTTTTTAAAACGCATCTTGCCTTACTATTTTGTAAAGCCATTTTATTTTTAGTTAATACAAACCTCCATGATCACTAGAAATAGTAACTCCCCCCCCCCCCCTGGGGGGGGGGGGGGGAAATTGGGAGATTTTTGAAAAGTCTACGAATTAATTTCCATGATTGTAGTTACAAGTCCATTTACACTATACGCATGTTCGCGGAAAGAAACAAAAAAAGTAAAATCTGTAGCTATAGTTAGTTACAATGGGCTGTGATCAGGACGTTCAAAGTATTATGATCTTTAAAACACACACAACAAAATCGTTAAACAAAAGAATGTCGTTTCGAAACTTGCTAGCCAATTCAACGTACAGCACGAATTATCAAATAAATTTGTACTTGGCGTGGCTTGTTTTTAAAATTACAGATTTCTTTATCGAACTGCTTAAGGTCCGGAAGGTAAAAATACTATTCAGACCCCCTGTAGAACAATTTCTTTATGTGTAATACATTAATATGTGTGATGTATTAAAAAAGAATACGACATGATATCGTAGACACCATGATATCGTAGACACCATGATATCGTAGACACCATGTGATATTCCTCCTATATAATTAAAACAATATCCTACAATACCAAACAACTATGAGAAATTACTTAATTACCCCTCATTAACCTCACACTAATGCAATCCGTTACATTATATATTATATATACCACATTTAAGGCAATTAACGCTGTAGTAAATAATGGAAAATACAAATTAGTCCAATATAAAAACAATTAAATAGCCATTAAAACAATATCTACGTTTTATCTTGTATGCCAAAACGCACCACCTATTTACAGGAGACAAAAATGGGTTTGATAAAATTCGCGATAAATTGTTCTTGTAAGTTGTGACCATGTACGTTCAGACAATCAGGCGTGCAGGGAAGCTTCGTATGTTGTGACAAATAGCGTACCAACAGCAAAAATATGAGGTGACTTAAAGTTCCCAGAGGCAAATGCATCTTGTGTCGGATCAAATACACATTGACTGGCTACTTCGATTCCATCACCACGAACTTCGCCAATGAAAACAGAGGAAACAATCTTTGTATTACAACCAATCAATTGTCTTGCTCTAGTACTGATAACTTTTCCTATCATGGCACTTTTCTTGACAAATTCTTGACTTGATTTCAAGTCTTTTTCATTCTCAAGATGTTTACTCAACTCTTCTGTTATAATTTGACATAATTTTTCCTTCAAACTTGCGGCAGTTCTTGTGGTGCGACATTTAGATGACCAATCTTCCTCAATGTCTACTTGGTTCACCTGTACGGCCGCGCCATGCCAGGTTGAAGATCGCTTTCTAGCATGAACACCAACCCCAGAGACAGCTGAACGCACTGACGAGGCAATGAGATTTCGTCGCTGAGAAGATGAAACATCCTTATCTATAGGAGGAAACTCGTCAGCCCCAAAAGTGTACGAGCGGTTCCTCCTGGTTAAGTGAGATAGCCACGACATATTTATAATAATACAGAACGCAGACGACACAAAAACATTTCCTCCCCCAATGCATTCAATAGTCAAGTGATGAATAGAAAAAAGTCCTTCACACTTAATAATCATCCACCTGGGAACTACTCTTGCACATTAAGCCAAATTATCTGTATTGCTGCCTCGCAGTACATCCTTAGTACTATTTGTATCAGTAATCACGCGACAGAAGATCGTTATATATTGTAAATTAAAAAGGAAGTGCACACGTACACGGTGTGAAAACACATTAGTGAGCTATAAATAAACGAATGAGGTTCAAAGCATATACTGGACTCATGGCATGGTTCAGTGGACTCACAAATTGGTAGAACGCTAAAGAGCTTCGGGAAGCGACTGCTGCGACTCAGACTCGCCAGTGAACTTTCGGCAGAAACATTCTGATCAAAATGCCAAACAGGACTTCAGTACATTCACCATGACCTTTAGCATGAATAGAAGTATGGATTGCCACGTATGAATTGGCACGTATGTATTATAATCCACAATGAAATCACTATAGATGTGTTTATATCGTCTCCAGGCAATATACAATTGGATAATTACTTTCCCACAACATGCTTGGTAATTGACGAATTTAACATGTCAATTTAAAAAAAAAAATTTAATTTTTTATGGTATTGTTGTATTATTTTGATTTGCTTTAGATATCATGTTTAATGAACTTCGGAAACCACTTAAATTTTTATCTCATTACTATACTTCGGAATGTTCTATTTTTTCCATTACTACTTCGGAATGTGTCAAAGATGCGACGAAGGCATGTAATCTTTCAATGCAAGAAAAATTTGGAGGTTTTATTTTTAACAGGTGCACATTGTACAAATGTTTGCTTGTTCGTTGGATGTTATCCAAAATCGTTTAAGAGAATAACAATACCTTCCACTCAACAGCACGACAAGGTGTTTCCTATGATTACTACTATAAGAACCTAAGAACCTTTCTCGGTTGAAAAGACATATTGTGCATGGTATTACCCAACACCCCGCGGATCCTTCGTCTCGCTGAAAAAACGTGCGATGTTTTCGCGTCAAAACATTTAGGAATGCGACCACATTCCTAACGTCGTGAAATGACATCGTGGGCAGACTTGGAAAAAGTGTTCAACGTTCCTCGGATCCTGAATTTGCCTTTTTCAAATGTTCCTCAATTATATTGGTTGTAAAATTGCTGAGGAAACAAAACAATCTTGAAATTCTATCAACAGGATATAAAGAACACTTCGCAATCTCAAAATAGACTCAAACGGCAGATAACTAAATATGATTCCTTAAAATTCTCCCTTAAAGTACGCGTGAAAAATTCAAAATGTTCCTGAATCTTGTTGCTAAGGCAAATGTTCCTCAGGATCCAGGATCCCGAGATCCCATTTTTCTCCAGGTCTGATCCATAGATATCTTATATAAACTAGATAGCGCATCTCTTTTAGTAAAATTGAAGCCAAGAAATTCCAGCGGTTACCCCCATTTGAATAGATGGCGGCCATGTTGAAGTTTCCCACTCGCTAATAAACGCTTAAAATCATTTGAATAGTTTGAAAATGTATTTGGAATAGGTAGAAAACATACGAGTCTTCTCATTTCATGGGAATATCCTGAGTCTGCAATCACGGCTTCAATTTTTGAATTACAGAATAATTAGATGCACTATCTAGTGTATATAACTTATAAGATATCTATGATCTGATCGTGCGAATGGCGACATCTGATTGGTTCGCGAGAAATGATATTGACATAACTAAAAACATTTTGTGTGTGTTGGTGTTATGTACTCAGCTGAATAAGATGTTTGTGGTGTTACTCTGACTGTGCATCCACACCGGATAAGCTGAAAAGTTTGCCTGACCACGGTGGGAATCGAACCCGCGACCTTTGGGATATTAGTCCAATACTCTACCAACTAAGCTACGAGGTGAAGTCGGTTCGAAATAACACCAACTCGAACCGACTTGACCTCGTAGCTCAGTTGGTAGAGCATTGGACTAGTATCCCAAAGGTCGCGGGTTCGATTCCCACCGTTGTCAGGAAAATGTTTTTCAGCTTGTCCGGTGTGGACGCACACAAACATCATAACTAACAACAGTTTCACATCTTAACAATAATTCTCCGACCGTTTACGGCGTTTTGAAAATGTTGTTTTTTGTATTATACATTTCATTTGTATGGAATTCCCGCTGCGGTAAAATTTTTTCATGGTAAAAACAAAATGAAGATTTCAATTCTATAAGGTTCATTTTTGGCAAAGATCTGTAGATAGTGAGATGAAAAATTGATGACGTGAACTCGGAATGGAGAATAGGCATAGAAATGTAGTGGCATTCTTGTATATTTTGACACGAAAACATGACATGATTTCTCGGGCGAAAGGAAGCATCCACGCGGTCCTCATAATATATCACGCAGTTTCATAAGTCCAGAACATATTGTAACATGCTTATTTGGCTATAAACAAGGCAGATTATGGCAGATTATAAGATATTATGTTGTAAGAGGATTATCCGCCTCAATTTCCAAGTGTTTACGTTGTATGTATTGTCATCCCAAATATAGGTTCTTTTTCAAATGTTCATTTAGCCTACTTCAATTAATTTGATGGTATTTAAACTGCCATACTTAATGTCACATTTCATTAACAAGCGAAAGAGTTTATATTATCCAGCTGTTTGTTAATCGATAAAGCAGAAATACAAACTATACGGTATAGTGTGCACCATCCATGTACAATTATGTGGTATATAATCCAGTTGTTCTCTGAAATGCCCAACATTACTCAACGGATGGTCTTTGGCTTGATAGCATTTTAAATAGTGATTTAACTCCACACACCAGGTCAACTAAGTATAACGATATCTTACCGTCATGGTGTGTTGATGAGAAAAACAGAACCATGATCACACATTGTTAGAAATATTTTTTAAGTGATTCCCCAAGGACTTCCTCCATTTCACTGATCACTTGCTGACATTTTTGTTCCACCTCGAACGATTCGTCTAAAATAATTATTATCACTGTAAAATCAAGCAATCTCATTGCATTTGTATTAAAAGTATATATATAGTTGCAGTAATAAATTTACGTGGTGTTTCCACAAACAAAAACAATTATATATATAGTTCTTATATATACTTGAGTCGTACGTCCACGTGACTGTCTGGTCAGAAAGAGAAAACCGCCGAGCCAATTCATTGTGTGAACCAGGTTTTAATGAAATAACATGGGTAACTTAGTTTATTACCAACCAGTTCCAACTGAAATGAGTCTGGTTATAGTTTACAAATCGAAGTATATAAAAGCATTTTTATCTATCGGACTTTGATCTAGCAAAATACCAATTCACGAAAATCGGATGTTTCCATATTATTTACTGTTGACTGCATTCGCAACGTATTGCAAAACGTTACGTCTATATTTATTCTAGTCGTTACTGAACTCTGAAATGTTGCCATGCACGTATTCATCGTGTGCGATATGGAGATGTGTAGGTGTCGGATTTAGGTCACGTTCAACACTTGAAATAAATGTAAATATATTTTATATAGATAGCATTCCATGTAAAATCCAGTTCATTCAGTACATGTTGTACAGTAGACAACGAAACGTTAGCTAATAAAGTTAGCTATTAATTATAGTTAAATTTCATTTTTACCAAGTATGCGTGGTTTGCTGGGCTCTTTTATTCATTTTTAAACTGAAACCTACTTAACTTGAGTGAAATTGGAACCCTAACCTTATTCAAGATATCTGTTCCAACAAAACATATCACTGTGACAAAAATTCGCATATACATCTTACTGCCATTCGCTTTAACGTGGCTCCCTATTGTTCTAATATCCGCAAGTAATTTTATGTGGTCATGACTAAGTGGGATGTATTACTCTATAAACCGAATCTTGGAGGCATGGAGTATATAGAATTATAATAAAGGTATCGATTACTTAAAAAAGGATAAACGATTATACACATATTGCGTTGTCATGGTAACAATGACATTCATACTTTAGCTTCTATTTGAGCATACGTGATACGGGTTTTCCCAAAATTTCTAAGCAAGTAAATTTTTGATATTCTAAACATATGTGAATATGGAATAAGGCTATCAAGGCATTTCCCAAAATTTCTCAGCGAGTAAATTTTTGATATTCTAAACATATGTGAATATGGAATAAGGCCAGCCTCGTCCCCAGGCTTCAACGCAGACGCGCGGGTTCCGACGCAAGCAGTGGACGGCCCTGGAATAAGGCTATCAAGGCAGATTATTCGCTACATAATTCACTGTTTTCAAAACGTTTGATCTGTTGGCAAGCTTGTTGTATTCGTTCAATTTACAAATTTTCAAGAAATTGTCTCGCAGTCGCTATTGCCGTGACAAAATATCGATTCGATATGATCAATATTTACGCATGCGTGAAGTTTATCACGCGAAACGCGCGCGTGTTTATTTGTATAGGTAATAGTACGCATGTTTCGAGTGCAATTTGGAAAAAAACATGCGTGCACGAGTGAGTTTTCAAAGACTATCAAAATTGAAATCTTTGAAAAACTCACGTGTGTATGTTTTTTCAAATTGCACGAGAAACCATACCATTACTTATTAACAAAGTATACATGAAAAAATTATGCAGTCATTCCTAAATGTTTGTTTTTTGTATTATTTCTCCTGGAAATTGCTGTATCTTATTGGCTATCTTTGTTATTGTTTCATTTTGTAAGTCAATCAGAAAGCCTAAAAAAAAATTGCACTGCTCTTAGCCAACCAGAATTGAGAAATTTTTTCATGTATATGATTGGTATTAGAATCGGACGAGTGCAATGTTTTTTTCTGCTAACGTCAAGACTTCGTTACCAGGCTTCTTATAAAATAACTATACGGAGCCACCTTAAATGCAATAAAATATGTACCTTCCATGAGTTCTGCAAGAAAAGGAACAATTTCTGGCAACAAAGCGAGGTATTCCTCTCCAAGTTTATGATTTAATTCTTGCACCACTTTCAACGCAGCTAAACGGACCTGAAAAATAGAAAGAGATAATATTGTATTCTATACACGCCTATTTGATAAGCCGAGTGAAAACAAATAGAATCGACTTTGTGTTCATCAAATTCAGGGTGCGAAAAATCCAGATTCTTATAGTTGTACTTCACTGGTACTCCAACGATTATTTCCACGTACTTGAGATGCTGCAAACCCTAAACTCAAGGCTTAGTTTGTAAGATTAAAAACAAACACAGTTTTCTTAAAGGTACAGTAAAACCCCGCATATAAGAACCTAGAGTTAGTCTGAAACAGGTTCTTATGTAAATGGTGCTTACCAGGAAATTAGGCTAAAAAGGTTCTTAAATAGGTTCTTATTTTCTTAAGAGAAAAGCGACTCAATTTAGGGAGGTATGGTATATGATTTATATAAATTATGCAGAAATGATCTAAAAAATGACAGTATATGCAGTATACCAACTCTATATGCACT